AAAAAAAAAAAAAAAAAAACAAAGACAAAAAGGATAAAATAAAAAAAATAAAAAAAAAAATAAATAAATAAAAAAAAAAAAAAGAAATGCACAGTGTTAGACTGCTGGACTGCCAGAGAAGTCCCTGGCCATCTTAACAGGACAGCAGCTGTATGCATTAGGGACCCACTCTGCCCCAGTTGTGACCACATCTTAGCTTAACTATTCACCACTGCAATGACACTGTCTCCAAATATGATCTCATTCTGAGGTCCTGGGGCTTAGTATCTCTTTGGGGGGACAAAACTCAGCCTATCACAGGATTATATGTAGAGTAATTGTATGTCAGTAACACATTTGGGGTTTATATACAAAAGAGATTGTTCCAAGAGACCTTATCCTCACTGCTGGAAGTACCATAGGCAAAGTATAAGGCAGATTATCATTTTTGGGAGCACCGACTTTTCCCTTACTACATATCACGTATTTCTAAAATCATAGGCTGTCTTGGGGATTTTCCTGGCTGTCCAGTGGTTAACACTCCATGCTTCCAATGCAGGGGGTGTGGGTTCGATCCCTGGTCGGGGAACTAAGATCCCACGTGCTGTGAGGCATGACCAAAAATAAAAAATAAGATAGAAAGAAAATCATAGGCTGTCTAGAGAGTATTCTGTCAAGTTGTTCGCAAACATTTAACATTTCGGAATTGGGATTGCTTTCCAGGAATATTGGAAGCAGTTAGAGGAAATACGCCAACAGTATCATCATGACATGAAGGAAATTAGAAAGAAGATGGGGTGTGAACTGGAGGTAGGTAATTTCATTCTTCTAAAGGAAATGTTGAGGGACTGCCCTGGCAGTCCAGTGGTTAAGACTTTTCTTTCCAATGCAGGGGGTGTGGGTTCGATCCCTAGTCGGGGGGATGGGGGGGGGGGGACTTAGATCCCACATGCCTCATGGCCAGAAAACCAAAGCATAAAACAGAAACAATATTGTAATGATTTCAATAAAGACTTTAAAAATGGCCCACATCAAAAAACAAAATGTTTAAAAAACGGAAACAAAGTGTTGCTCTATTGATTCAGAGCTAACTAAACTGAGCAGATGTTAACAGTAATGATCTTTTTTAAAAAATAATTTTAGTTATTTAACTATTTTTGACTGTGCTGGGTCTTTGTTGCTGTGCGGGTTTTTCCTAGTTGTGGCAAGCAGGGGCTCCTCATCATTATAGCGCTTGGGCTTCTCTGCAGAGCTCAGGACTTGGAAGGTGCAGTTCCCAGACTCTAGAGTACAGGCTGATTAACTGTGGCCCGTGGGAGTAATGATCTTCTCATCAAAAAGATAAGCTTTATCATGCAAACTTTTTTTTTAAATGGGAAAACTGTCAGATGTAATGGAAGCCCCGCTTTATTATGGTTTACTTGAGGCTACACAAGGTGATGGGGCTGAGAGTCTCAGTGAAGAGTGCCTGTTATTAAATATGGTTGATCGTGTTCCCTGTGAGTCAGTCAATAAGTATTGACCAAGCAGGTACTTTATTCTAGAACTGGATTAGATACAGGAAGTGAGTTCATGCCTGGGAGGTAGGAAAAACAATGAGCATTTACTGAATTTAGCTACATCAGTGGTAAAGAATCCACCTGCCAATTCAAGAAACGCAGGAGATGTGGATTTGATTCCTGGGTCGGGAAGATCCCCTGGAGGAGGAAATGGCAACCCATTCTTGCCTGGAGAATCCCATGGACAGAGGAGCCTGGTGGGCTACAGTCCATGGGGTCGCAGAGTCGGACATGACTGAGTGCGCGCGCACACACACACAGGAACAGTCTCATATGCTGGGGTAGTCTACATAAGGCAACATTTGAGTACAGTTGAGATGATTTTTGAAATATCCTTTGAAGGAGCCACATTGGAGATTCATTCTTCTATTTCTTAGGTGGTTGCTTTTTCAGTAGAACTCCAGATGAGATGGCTGGCCTGTGTCTGGAGACCACATTGCATGAAAAACACATGCATTTTTAAACACTAGAAACATCCTTGGGACCCTGGAATGCTCCTCCTATGAGAGGCCAGGGGGTACCGAGTCCCATTGAGGACACAGCCTGTCTCACGCATACTTGAACTACACACTCATTGTGTAGAACTGCCCATATTGCTGAAATTGACCTTTCCCTTTCCCCATCTCTGCGGGCATATAGATAAATGAATATAGGTGAAATGAGCAAAGGTACAATTCGGTTGTATGTACTGGGCTCTGAACTAGAGCTTTGATATCCACATTTTCTTTACTTCCCATGACAGAGACGTTCAAGTCACTTAGATATTGCAAGGCAGGCTATATAACTCCCCCTGATGGCTCAGATGGTAGAGAATCTGCCTGCAATGCAGGACACGACTGAGTGACTAACACACACAACACACAAACACGCAACTGATTCTAAAACCTGTACCCTTTCTAGCATAGACACTTCTACCCATAAATAATTGGAAAGATAAGACATGCACATGTGAAGCAGTGATGGAATAAGACTGAATCTGGTTAAGCCCTGTGAGTGCATGGGAGTAAACAGGAGCGGGTTGAGCAGGTGGAGGAATTTTCTGGAAGAAGAGAGATGGGGCCCAAACTGGGTCTGAGAAGCAGAGTGGAGTTTGGAGAGGCAGAGCTAAGGAGGAGGACATCTGAAAGAACCACACAAAGCTTCAGGCCTGAGTGCCATGGGAGGGGTGGGCTGGACATGCTTATCACCAGAGCAGTGCATGCATGCTAAGTCACTCAGTCGCGTCTGACTCTTTGTCACCCCGTGGACTTTAGCCCTCCAGGCTCTTGTTCATGGGATTCTCCAGACAAGAATATTGGACTGGATTGCCATGCCCTCCTCCAGGGGATCTTCCCAACCCAGGGATCGAACCCCCATCTCTTACCTCTACCTGCAGTGGCAGGTGGGTTCTTTACCACTAGCGCCACCTGGGAAGCCCAGAGCAGTGGTTTGGTTAATAGTGGAGAGCCTTGTGTTATCCTCAGCGCTGTTTTTTAAGGCAGGTCTGGGGTGGGAAGCCTGCATGTGGGAAAGATAGACAGCAGACTTTTCTAGAGAGGCCAGGAAAGAAGCCCTGGGGGGACACCGAAGGCGGCCACAGAGGACAGAGGCCATAAGGGGTTTCTCTCCAGCCACACCCCCGGATCCTCCCCCGGCCAGTGTCCTCATGAGACCCCACTCAGGTCTAGCAGCCGAGGGTCAGCAAGTGGCCTTCAGAACTGACGCAGAACCAACCTTGTTGATTGTGTATAATTTATGTTGAAGGAGGACTCAAAAGTGAGCTGGAAAACCTACTTGGTGAGGAAGAGTGACCTGCCCACCCCCCATGAAGCGCCTGAGGGAGAAGCACCTGTGCAGGTGATGGTTATTGTTAGATGATGCCGAGTTTCCCAGTGAGTCTGCGCCAGCCTGGTGTCCCATCCCTCCTTGCACAGTAGAACCACGTGGGAAAGTTTAAAAAACTCACTCAGGACCCTCTCTGGTGGTCCAGTTGTTAAGACTCCAATGCGGCAGCACGGGTTCCATCCCTGGTTGGGGAACTAAGATCTGGCATGTTGCGTGGGGTGCCGCTCCACAAAAAACCCAAAAAACAGAGCGATCAAAAAAAAAGAAAGAAAACACCTGGGCCCCATCCCAGATGGTCTGTGGTGGGACCCAGGCATCTGGTCATCAAGAGCTAACTGGTAAGTTCATGCAGCCAAGTTTGAGAACTGCTTCCGGAGTGGGAGAAATTTCTGTTGTCCGATGGTGTTTGAATCTGAGTCTCAAAGACACCTCTCAGTGAATCTGACAGTTAATTTATCTTCAAACTTACGTTTTGGGCATTAATAGGGAACTGGGCAGAGCTGAATGATCAAATGGCTCACAAAGGACTTTTCTTTTTTCCTCTGGGTGGTCTTTCCCCTTCATCTTCAATGAGGTGCCCCAAGGGCTTGATTGAGGGCAGGTGAGAGGAAGCCACGTTGAGTGAAGTGAAGGCTGAACAGCCTCCCTGAGTGTTTCTTTTTGTGAAAACCCCGGGACCTTCACAAGAGGCAGTGCCCAGAGCTCTAAAGTGGACTGAGGTTGAATTTTCTACCCAGTTGGGTGAACGGAGCTTCGGGGTCTAACTTGTTTGACACGAGTTTGATCCTTGGGTCGGGAAGATCCCTTGGAGAAGTCGAACATGACTGAAGTGACTTAGCATGCACGCACAAAGGGAAACAAAGCAATATGACACTTCTCATGCAATTGAGACAGTTAGACTACACAGTCAAATCAGACAGCCAACCTCACAAATGTAAGTAAGATAACAGAAGTCAGAGTCCTATTTCAGAGTGTGTAATATTGCAAAGCAGGAAAACACCCTTCCCACGGTTGCGGGGCAACTCACCAATAATTCAAACTGATAGATGTGAAGTACACACAAAGGGTGTGGTCCACGGAAGAGGCAGTAATTAACGTCTATGTGTAGGTATGTGTTAGTTGTTCAGTTGTGTCCAACTCTTTGCAACCCCATGGACTGTAGCCCGCCAGGCTCCTCTGTCCATGGGGGTTCTCCAGGCAGGAATACTGGAGTGGGTTGCTATTCCTTTCTCCAGGGGAATATATATTTATATAATATATATATATTTATAAAATTGAATAGGAAATGTGGACTAAGAACTACTTTGGTAGGTAAATATGTGCTTCAATATAGATTTGAATGATATGATAATCTAAGAAGGAAATTTATATATATTTATAAATTTTATATTTATATGTATATATATAAAAACACATGGAGACTCATAAGTTTCTGGCTTGAAAGAAATAGTACATTTTACCAAGATGTGGAAGAGTAGGGAGCAAGCTTGTATATCGGGGGGTGGGCCCTCAAGAACTCCGCTTTGGACATGTTGAGTCAGGAAGATCTGAGAGACCACATCCCTGCTTCAGGTCTCTGCCCTGCTGTTCCCGCCACCTGGAACACGCTTTCCGCAGACCATCCTTAGCCAGGGTCCAGCACCATTCCAGGGCTTCAGTCAAATGCCAGGTAGACTTTTCCTGACTTACTGTCCTCCTCTACTCATTTTCTAGGCTATTACTCTAATCTTCTTTTCTTTATAGCACTTAACACCTTCTGAAATGACATCATTGCTTTGCTGACTCATTTACCTATTTTACTCCAGTAAGATGTAAGCTGTGTGTCAGTAGGGACGTTCACGTTCTGCACCGTCCCATTGTGCAGGGCAGTGTCTGGTCTGTGGTGGGCGCTCGATATGAAATTGTGGGGTGAATGTTAAGGTGAGGATGGTACCAAGTAGGCAGCTGAATATGTGAGTCTGAAGCTCAGAGGGGAGGAAGGATCAAACCTGAAAAGACATGTTTAAGAGTCATTGCATAAAGATCGCATTGAAATCCCTGGAAATTACTGAGACCCCAGTGTATGGTGGAGAAGGAAATGGCAACCCACTCCGGTATTCTTGCCTGGAGAATCCCATGGACGGAGGAGCCTGGCAGGCTATAGTCTATGGGGTCTCAAGAGTCGGACACGACTGAGTGACTAAACCACCACCACCACCACATGTGTACTGAGGAGGAGAACGGCAGGGGGCCCAGGACTGAACCCCAAGAAAGCTCAGGACCTAAAGTTCACCTCTTGACCATTCTTTGGAAGTTCTTGTCAGCACTTTTACAGTCTTCTCTTCCTCCTTTAAATTGACCATCAATTTTTAGACCCTCCCCTCATTCCTTTGTAGTATCATGAGCTGTGCACTTTTCTGCTTTCCTGATTAAGATCATAAGCTTCTTAAGGGAAGGATCTTATAGTCAAAATTACACTCTTTTTAAAAATTGCATTTATTTTTAGTTGCGTTGAGTCTTCGCTGCTGCTCGCATGCCTTCTCTAGTTGCGGCGAGTGGGAGCTAGTTCTCGCGGAGGTGGGCGGGCTTCTCTCTGCGGTGGCGTCCTGTTGCAGATCACAGGCTCTGGGCCACGGCTCTCAGCAGTTGTGGCACTGTGGCTTAGTTGCTGCAAGGCAGGTGGGATCTTTCCAGACCAGGGATCGAACCCATGTCCCTTACATTGGCAGGCAGATTCTTATCCACTGTACCACCAGGGAAGTCCCCAATTTACATTCTTGAGTTAGATTAGGTTATATGGGACTGAAGTGATAAATATTGTCACAACATAGAGTTGCAATGCTGGTGTTAAATGCACTAATACTTCAAGTTAATGGACCTTGTGCCCAAGCTTTTAGTGGGCTATCATTAACTTTCTTTGCAACAGGCATGCTTTTATTCTCAAGTCAACCATCAGATTCATTCAAGAAATCAAATAATGTAAATAGATCTTGCTGTGAATTCGGCAATTGTGAAAATATAATTGTTTGATCAATAGTAAATGCTAGATTTTATTTTTTCTCTAAGTTTCAGGATAGTGAAAGAGACTTAAAACAAATTAAACCTCAGAACATAAAGGGAAGTAAAAGTTCGGAACAAAAACATAAAGCTCAGGTAATAAACATTTTGTCTTTTTCGTATTAAAAATCTGGCTGGGGCTCTGCACCTTGTAATCTGGATTGCCTACAGGATTTCACCCCCTACTATTTTATGGAATTGCCTTATTTTGTGATGTTAGACTAATGGTTTTAAGTATCTGTAATGTCATATTGGGAGTTGTGATTTTAAGGTTTTCATTGGATTGCAAAACTAAGATTCTTTTCTTGCTTTCTTTTAGAGAGGGATAAAATTTGAAATTAATTTAGATGAATGCATTTCTGATGAAAACACCCTCCAAGAGGAAGAGGTATGCCGTTAAGTTAAATTTCTATTAGTAGAGATGAAAGAATGAGTGTCAGGGTGAAACAGATAACCAGCCCAGGTTGGGTACATGAGGCAAGTGCTAGGGCCTGGTGCACTGGGAAGACCCAGAGGGATCAGGTGGAGAGGGAGGTGGGAGGGGGGACTGGGATGGGGAATACATGTAAATCCATGGCTAATTCATTTCAATGTATAACAAAAACTACTGTAATGATGTAAAGCAATTAGCCTCCAACTANAAAAAAAAAAAAAAAAAAAAAAAAAAAGAAAGAATGAGTGTCTTAATAGCACATTTCATGAAATTTTCCCATAGAGGGTAGGGAAAATTTTCTAAAATCTTCCTAGAAGGATCTCTAGTGTTCAGAAAAGTCTTCCAAAATACTTAACCTTCTGTTCTTCTTAAAATTGAGATTATTCATATAAATGGATTATTCCATTTTACTTTGCTATTATGAAGAAAGTATTTTCCTCCTAACAGTAACTTTTAAATTATAGCCAGATTAAAATAGAAGACATAATATTAATATATAGTCAACAACTAATAAACTCACCTAAAATAAATGAGCATGTATATTTAAATTGAATAACCAACAAGAACCTACTGTATAGCACAGGGAACCCTGCTCAATATTCTGTAACAACCTAGTTAGAAACTGAAAAAGAGTAGCTAACATTTATATGTATAACTGAAAGCAATTGGAAAAGAATAGATACATTTATATGTATAACTGAATCACTTTGCTATGTATTTGAAACTAACAGAACATTGATAATCAACTATAATATGAAATAAAAAGTTTAAAATAAAATAAAAATAAATAAGTGAGCTGGTATCTTGAAACCATGCACATTTATTTTGGATCTTGATTAGTTATTGATAACTTTGTACTGGTCTTTGGGTAAATCTCAGTTATGTACTAGGGATCTCATTGAAACAGAAATAATTGCATGAATACAATACACTCAAACCTCATTTTATGACTTGATTTCAGCATCTTTTTTTAATCCCATTTTTTACTAAAGCTGCTAACCAATATGAAAATTAACTGATTTGTGTTTCCATTTCACCTCTCCAAATTGACCTTTTAAATTATCAAAAGTTAAGTATGAATGTGTATCTCTCTCAATTCCTTTATTTCATTTTTTTATTGGTTTAAAACTTTTTAAATGTTATCATTTCTTTTAGATTTGTGTGTTTGTGTGTGTGGTGAAGGTCCATTTTTTAAAAAAATAGACTTTATGTTTTAGAGCAGTTTTAGGTTCATGTCAAAATTGAGCAGTAGGTAGAGAGATTTCCCATATAGCTCTTGCCCATGCCCTGCCACACACACACACACACACACACACACACACAGCCTTCCCTACCATCAGCACCTCCCACCAGAGTGGAACATTCATGGCAAATTAGCTGCCATGTGATCAGTGCTTATCTCTTTTGACAAGGGGAAGAAATGGACAGACACATTCCTGTTTCTACCTTGTTCCAACATAGTTCCAGTTTAAAATCCTGTTGATTCATGTAATAAACATATGTTGAATACTCATTGCATATTGATGAACCTACACTGGCCCATGCTAATCACCCAAAGTCCATAGGTTATGTTAGGGTTCACTCATTCTGTGGGTTTTGACAAATGTAGAATGACATCCTTATAGAACCATTGAAAAAGAATAGATACATTTCTATGTATAACTGAAAGAAATTGAAAAAGAATAGATACATCTATGTATATGAGTACATCTATGTATCTATGAGTCTCTTTGCTATGCATTTGAAACTAACAACGTTGTTAATCAACTATACTCCGGTATGAAATAAAAAGTTTAAAAAATAAAATAAAAATAAATAATATTTTTAAATTTTAGAGTAAAATTATAGAATCATACAGAGTATTTTCACTGCCCTAAAAATCCTCTGTGTTCCACTAAGTTTTGAGATTTTACCAGCATTTTGCTATATAAAGACTTCAGTGGAGTGGCGGTAGGTAGTGCTCACCTCTAACTGCTAGGCTCTGCGTGTCCCGGAGCTGTGAGTACCAGAGGGAGCAGCTCTGGGGCCCCGGGGTCTGGATTGGAAGCTGAGGTCCGCTCCCTCCAGTGCTGTGACATGAGGCGCTGCAGTTGGCTTCCCTGATGGCTCAGATTGTAAAGAATCACCTGAAATGCAGAAGACCAGGGTTCGATCCCTGGGTCAGGAAGATCCCCTGGAGGAGAGTATGGCAACCCACTCCAGTACTCTTGCCTGGAGAATCCCATGGACAGAGGAGCCTGGCAGGCTATTGTCTATGGGGTCACAAAGAGTCAGACATGACTGAGTGACTAACACTTTCACTTTTAAAGTTGGCCTTCTAGAGAAAGGAATAGAACCCCCAAAGTTTTATGCACCAATTTGTTCATCGTTTGTTCTTCTTTGCTTTGATATGCTTGAAACAGAGTAATTTTAATATTAATAATGGAATGTTAGGAGCAGTTTTAGGGACCTGATTGGCAATGTTAAAGCTTAAAGCAGGACATGGATGAACTCATCTTTAGAGTTCCATAGCATGGAACAGTAGGGGGATAAGATCAAAGGCAGGATGTCTGCATCAAATTAGTTGCCACGGGATCAGAGCTCGTCACTGTTGACAAGGAGAAGAAATGGACAGACATATTCCCATTTCTACCTTGTTCCAAAAGAGTTCCAGCTTTAAAAGCCTATTGATTCATGTAATAAACATATATTGAATTATCATTGGATATCTTGATAAATGCTACTACTGGGAATACAGAATAATTTTTAAACTTTTCCCCCCAAAATGTGGCTTATTTCTCATGAAACACTGTGGAATTGCTTTAGGCAGTGGATATGCTGATTAAAACTTTGACTTCTGAGGATGGCATGAAGTTCTTGGAACTTAAATGTATGAAGGCGCAGGAAGATTATACAGACAAAGCATTTGAAAACCTCTGTTGCCCAGAAGCAGGTATGTGTCCCTTGAAGGCTGCAGATGAGAAGGTACGGTTTTGTTGATAACCATCTCATATTCTCTCCTCACTCATCTCCTGTGACCTGACTGTCCCCTGCCCCCCACCCCTCCCTGAGCTGGGTGGAACCTGGCCTGACTCCACCCACCGCAGAGATCACAGCCCGAGACCCACCCTCCTCTCTGCTCTGCACTGCTCCCGGGGCAGTTTCACCTGCCCCCTCAGCTTCCACTCCTCCACCAGCAGCTCCACACTCCTCTGTCTTTCTCAGGGTCTCCTGGATTGCTCCAGGGACAAGTCCCATTGTCATCTCAGACTCAGTGTGTGTACAATCAATCTTCCGAGCCCTTTCCTCCCAGGGAGTCTTTATTCTGGGCGATGTCCTCACCAGGCCGACGGTCCTGCTGTCATGCCTGGGGTGGTTTCTACTCTGAGATGTCCCTGAGTCTCCCTTCTCCTCCTTCATTCTCTCTGCCCTGTCCTGTCTCAGCAGTGTATGTGGTAGGAAGTGCATGGGCTTTGGAGACAGAGTTCGAATCCCAGCTGGTAGTGCCACTTTCTGATTGTGCAGCCTTCCATATGTTACTTCAAATCTCTGAATCTCAGGCACTTCCCTGGTAGGCTAGTGGTTAAGACTCCACACTCCCAATGCAGGGGCACGGGGTTCTACCCCTAGTTGGGGAACTAAGATCTCACATGCTGTGTGGCCAAAAAGAACCCAAAAAACTCTGAACCTCAGTTTCTTCTTAGGAATGAGGATACTAATGCTTGCCACACAGACTTATTGTGAAGGCTAATGTGAAAATGGACATATTAGGTGCTTAATTTAATAGATGCTATTTCCTTAATATTCCCTTTCCCTTCCCCTGAGTTGCCTTACTCTGCTATGCATCCTCCTTTTCTCTAGTATTTCCCTTTCATTCTGTAAATATTGCTATAGTCATCTTGTATTATTATCCTACTCAAATTTTTAAAGTTAATTTTTGTTGGAGTATTGTTGCATTACAATGGTGTGTTAGTTTCAACTGTACAGCAAGGCAAATTAGCTGTATGTACACATGTACCCCCTCTTTTTTGGATTTCCTTCCCATTTAGATCACCACAGAGCTCTGAATAGAGTTCCCTGTGCTGAATCGAATAAAGATTTTTTTTTTCCAGGTGGAAATGAGGCATGATCAAAATGAAATATGAGTAGAGTTCCCTGCTCAATTGTGTTTTGATAATGCTCATAGGATACAGTTCATTGCACAAAGTAACACGTGTTATGCTGCATGGCCTGATCCTGCTCAATCACCCCCCTCTCTTCCTGCACTGATGATGGGATCCACACAGCCTGTTGGAACCACATCTTCTCTTGCAGCTATGTGAGCATTTACACAGCCTGACTCAGCTGTTTCCTCTTCCTAGAATAATACACTTTGCCTCACTTCCACCTGGAAAAATCTGTATTCAATTCAGCAGACATCTTACAGAGAATCCCCAGCTCCTGCCAGGCTGTGCTAAGTGGAAGGGACCTCAGAGATGAATGATAGCTGGCTCTGCCTTCACAATCATAGAACTGTCATGAACCAGTGAAAGGAGGCACAAAACCTGCTTTTTGAACCCCAATACTAATCATCAGTTTGATACTGAAAATGGTCTCAATGTAAACTGGGTTCCTGTAATTATTATTCAGGCTGAACAGTTTTTTGTTTTTATAAACCATGTGTTTATTGACACCTGTATTTCTGTTGTAAATTATGTGCTTATATCCTTTATCCATTTTTCTACTGAATATGGCATTTTTTTTTTCTTTGTAAGACTCATTTAAGTTGAACCTTTGCCTGAAGCACCTATTGCAGATATTTTCCCGAGCTGGTCTTTAGATCTCATTGACAGTAACAACAGCAAATATGTGTGTGAGTGTGTGTGTACTTATAACTTGGGAATAAACTCTACAAGAATCATGCAGAGCAAATGAAGGAAACATAAAACTTTACTGAGGTAGTTAAAGACTGAATAAATGTAGAGAAAAGAGCTGGACACGACTGGGCAACTGAACAACAACAATACTGTTATATATTAGAAACATCCATTCCAAATAAATATGTGGATTTTTGGCAATTTCAATCAAAAGCGCAATCGGGGTTTTTTCTGGTGTAAAGAGATCTTGGCAGAGTGCAGAATCTTGGAGATCCTTTTTAAAAAATATTTATTTATTTATGGCTGTGTCAGGTCTTAGATGTAGTGCTCGAGCTCAGTAGTTGCAGCTTGAGGGCTTAGTCGTCCCACGGCATGTGGGATCTTAGTTGCTCAAACAGGGCTCAAACCCCTGTCCCTTGCATTGGACCACAGATCCTTAACCACTGGACCACCAGGGAAGTCCCTTGGAGATTCTTAGCTAGCCAAAATATCTCGAAAAGACGAGCAGTGAGTGGTACTTGTCTTCCAAATATCAAACCATATTATAGAAATTACAATGATTAAAGCAATGTGATACTAGCAGCAAAATTTTTAAAAAATTAGTGAAAAAAGATAAAGTTTAGGAACAAGCTCTAGTATATATCATAATTTAGCATATGCTAAAAGTCACATCATGTCAATGGGAATTAAATAAGAGAATTAAATAAATGCTCTAGAACTAGCTGGTTAACAATTTGGGGAAAATTGTGAAATCAGACTCTATATAATGATACAGCAAAACAAATTCCAAACTAAAATCAAAGAGTTTATATGTTAAAAGTGAAGCTATATGTTAGAAAATAAAGTGAAAGAAAATGTAAGTATTTTTTGAATAGGGAAGACTTCGCTATTCAAAATACATAGGAAAAAAATCACAGAATAAATTAGTAATAGATTCAACTTTAACAATGAAACGCTTTGGTAAAGCAAATATTACTAGCCCCTAGAATTGTCATTTTCAATATTTTACCTAGGGAAAATAGTCATAAATGTAAAAAATGAGTCCATTATAGTGTTGTTTATCATAGTAAAAAATTCTAGCAATCTAAAAATCAAGCAAAAAAGAATTAAGTTAAAATGTATCCATAAAACAGGATACCCAGTTTGTTTTAAAATAGTGGTATAGAGCACTATTTAATAATTCAGATAGAATATATTGCTAATTGAAAAGAACACATTATAAAAGAATATGTAGTATTTGGCCCATTTTTTGTTTCAAAACAAAGCAAAAATAATATGCAGGAAGGAAAATTTGAAATTGTAATCATCTTCTGGACGGTGGGATTATGGAAATTTTGGTTTTCTTCTTTATCTGATCTCCAAATTTCCTATAATGAAACATAGTAACAAATTTTTTAAAAACCATGTTACTTTTGAAATTAAGGTAGGGGACTTGGCTGGTGGTCCAGTGGTTAAGAATATGCATTTCTACTGCAGGGGGCACAGGTTCAACCCCTAATCGGGAAACTAAGATCCCGAATGCCACAGTGTGGCCAAAAAATAAAGTAAGGTAATGGAATAGTTGCTTTTCTGTGGAAACTACTAAAGTTCACATAAAGCCTCAATAATTTGTTCATTCAGTGCTGTTAATATTTCTTTAGCATTAAATATATTTAGTCAATCAAATGTTAATAATAAAAATGAAACAATTTTAAACCTGTTTATAACTTCAGAACTTATAAGTTCAGTGGCCTGAAGGAACAAATATCATAAACTTGATGGCTTATTAACAACATTTATTCAATATTTCACACATTTCTGGAGGCTGAAAAGTCCAAGATCATGATGCTAGTAGATTCAGGGTCTGGTGAGGGTCTAATTCCATCTTTTTGCTGTGTCCTCACAAACCAGTCAGTCCTAAAGGAAATCAGTCCTGAATATTCATTGGAAGGACTGATGCAGAAGCTGAAGCTCCTGTATTTTGACCACCTGATGCGAAGAGCCGATTCATTGGAAAAGACCCTGGTGCTGGGAAAGATTGAATGCAGGAAGAGAAAGGGGTGACAGAGGATAAGATGGTTGGATGGCATCATCGACTTAGTGGGCATGAATTTGAGCAAACTCCAGGAGATAGTGAAGGACAGGGAAGCCTGATGTGCTGCAGTCCATGGGGTCGTTGACAGGACTCGGTGACTGAACAACAGCCCTTAGTGGAAAAGATGAGGGAGCGCTCTGTGGTCTCTTTCGTAAGAGCATTACTCATTTTCATGAGGCTTCACCCTCATGACCTAATCACCTCCCCACAGTCCCTCCTCCTAATACCATCACCTTGGGCATGAGGTTTGGACATTTGAATTGGTGGCGGGGAGGCAGGGAGGGATGGCGTGCAAACATTCAGTCCATAATAATCTGTATCAGAAGGATGGTGGTGACTTGTTTTTGAATGTGCCAGCTGATGGATTTGGTGCTATTAGTCACACTTTGCTGCTTTGAAATGCACGAATTATTTCCTTATACCCAGAGTTGTGCATTCCGGATGCCACGGTTGCAGGGCACAGGAGACAGTGGGCCCCGGGAGCCCCTCAGACTCTGCCGCAAATGATGGCCTCGGCCGACGTCACCTCCACCCACTCCACCCGCTCCACCCGCTCCACTGTGCCCGAGGGTGAGGCTGACGTCAGTGGCTTAAATCATCAGCAAGAGGAGAGAGAGGCACCAGACACAGCTGTGTTCTCCTCAAATGCCAGTGCTCACTCTGGCCTGATAGTTCTCACTTTTCAGTATAGTCTCTATAAGAACGAAAGAAAGAAAGTGAAGTTGCTCACTTGTGTCTGACTCTTTGCAACGCCATGGACTGTAGCCTACCAGGGTCCTTTGTCCATGGGATTCTCCAGGCAAGAGTACTGGAGTGGGTTGCCATTTCCTTCTCTAGGGGATCTTCCCAACCCAGGAATTGAACCCGGGTCTCCTGCTTTGCGGGCAGATGCTTTACCATCTGAGCCACCAGGGAAACCCTATAGTCCCTATAGATTTGTATCCAATACTTGTCAAAAGACGCTGTTTTAGATTAGGTTTGTGGCTCAGATGGTAAAGAATCTGCCTGCAATGCAGGAGACCCAGGTCTGATCCCTGGGTCAGGAAGATCCCCTGAGGGAGGAAATGGCAACCCACTCCAGTATTCTTGCCTGGAGAATCCCATAGACAGAGGAGCCTGGTGGGCTACAGTCCATGGGACTGCAAAGAGCCAGACATGACTGAGCAATCAACACTTCCACGTCCTACCTCTGCAGAGACTTGCCTACTAATTATTCTAGACAATTGACCACTGTAGCTGTAAGAATGTAAGGGAGGAAAGATCCAGGCTCCCACCTCCCTCTCAAGGAGGGGCAGGTGGCTTCATTTGCTTTCCTGTGCTAGCCCAATAACTCCCTTGCAATGTCTTGAAGGGTCATTTATTTTCATCAGTAATATCAGAATTGAAATATTAGCTATCCTACAAGGTTTAGAGAGTTGGCGCAAAGATACACATTAAATTGCTTTGTAAGCCAATGTGCTATTTCAGTGTTGGGAGTGTGTAGAATGTGATGGTATTTTCAACCTAACTTCTTTTGTTTACATCTGAGCTTCTGGCATAGTCTTTCCTCATCAGAGAGTCTCTGCAATACCTGGGTGTGATCTTACAGGTGGTGGAGATTTTTATTGCTTATTTCCTATATTCTTGATAACCTGGGGCCGTGTGTGCTAAGTCACTTCAGTGGTGTCTGACTCTTCGCCATCCTGTAGACTGTAGCCTGCCAGGCTCCTCTGTCTATGGGATTCTCTAGGCAAGAATACTGGAGTGGGTTGCCTTTCCTTCCTCCGGGGGATCTTCCTGACCCAGGAATCAAACTCGCTTACATCTCCTACATTGCAGGCTGCTACTTTATCTCTAGCACCACCTGGGAAGCCCATGTGGGGCTGAGGGAGAGCTGAAATTTATGTCCATAAGTTGAAGTCTGTAAATATATTACTAAAGTTAGTAAGTAAAAGTGTGTGAATGGACCCATGTTTATACTCTTACAAAATATATCATTAAATTTACAGAAAAGGGCTTGCAAACATAATAAACATAATTTAATCCATCCTAAGCCAGTGAAACAACATGAAGGGAAACCAAATTTAAAATAAATGATAGAATAGAAATGTCAACATACCAAAATAGCCAGTTTGCAAAGCAAAAAATGACTCTCCTGCCCAATGGCTCTGTGACAGTCATATTGTCACTGAAGTTTTCTTAGCTTCTTTACTCATAAAGTGAAGGGTGGGATTAGGTTATCGCCAAGGTTCTCACATTCTGTGATTTTATTTTATTTTTTTTTTCTTTTTTTTAAATATTTATTTATTTGGCTGTACCAGGTCTTAGCTGCAGCATGCGGGATCTTCAGTGTGAAGTCTTAGTTGTGGCACGTGGGATCTGGTTCCTTGAGCAGGGATCGAACCCAGAGCCCCTGCATTGGGAGCCAGGAGTCTTAGCCACTGGGCCACCAGGGAAGTCCCATCACATTCTGTGATTTTAAAAGCTCCATTGAAGAAGCATTTTTATTGTCACTAATCCAGTCTCCTTTTCAGACGGCCGAGTGATTGAGATTGAAGGCGGTCCAGAAAACAGGAGACGGTGGCGGCGAGAAGCCCCGGGAACTTTACTGAGTGTTTTGGAAGCAGCACAGCTAACCAGCAGCTCGCTTTCTGCCAACGATGCAGAATGTGGTATGTAGTTTACTTCTAAGTACATCCCCAGTCCCCTGCAGAATTTTGTCAGACGTGTAAATGCAGGACGGGGATAAGAATAGCCTGGAGAGAGAATTGAGAGGGTGTCAAAGCCTTTTCAGAAACTGATTTACTTTGTCCAAGCCTGTTCCAGATGCATTAATGAAAGACTTGAACTTCTGAAAAAAGTGGAATCATTTTCTGTAACGGGATCGGTTGATGAGTGATGAAAATTAGGTAGGAAGGGCAGGTGGCTTTGTAGATGATGAGCTAGGGCTTAGCTCTACTTGACAGAGTCCATTTAATCTGACAGCTATTCAGCAGACTCAAATTACCATGCGGTGGGCAATAAAATACATCTTAATATAGTTTTTTTGGCTTTGGGGATTTCTTTTTTTTTTGCCTCTAACTTTCAGCAAGCTTGTGCTTGTGCTGGCTTCAGAAATTGTTGTTTTCTAAAGGTTGAGGGAATTTGCGTCACAGTGAGAATCTGGTGTGAACTGCCACGAGAAAAACCAACTGGGACAGGCAGGTATCAAACAAAGAACACTTGCCCAGGCGGGGCTTTGGGGCTTCAGAGACACGAGGCTGAGGCGGCAGGGGGCCTGGGTACCAACCCGAGAGTGATGGAGGCTGATGAGTGTTTACAAAGTGAAAGAACAACAAGAAAGTATATTGAGAATAATGCAAGAGGCATAGCTGACTGTTTCTGAAGAGTGAGTCTGCCAGTGTGTGAAGTGCAAGAAAATGGGACTCTCTGTGAAAGGTGAGTCTTAAAGAATGGACGGCATTTTATTAACAAAGGAACATTTCAGGTGGGGAGGACTTGCAGATCCACCCACCTGAGAGACTGAGAAAGGCGGTATGACTAAAATCTAGGCGCAGTAGAAGGGCCAGGGGTCCTTGAGTAGATGGAGTCCTTCGATTTTATGACTTATCTCAGCTGCCACACTTAAAACTCAAGGCTTGGGTGGAGAGGGTAGGGAGAGAGAGAAATATATGGTTCTCTGTCTTTGAGGCTTTATTTCTAGTAACTTCAAATCACAGACTGCAGTGTGATTGCTGGTCAGCTTCCTCCCCTTCTATCCTGGGATAAAGGCATTGTCTGTAAAATGGGGCTGGAGGCTGGGGGGTTGGGAGGAAGCTTTGGGCTGGCCTGGATTAGACTGGAGGCCAAAGGCTGGGGTCAAAGACCAGGTAGGATGGAGGTGCCCATCTTTCAGGACACTGTGATGGCGACATGCTGGTGGCTATGGTGTGTCTTCTTGCATTTGCTCCTGTGATTCTTTGGAAGAGTCATAGAAAACTCTTCATATGATCTTGCATGCCACGTGAATTTATTCATGAACTTACTGTATTTTTGCATGAATGGCTTTACATTAGGCATACATGAGTAACTGATCCAACAAGTGGGACGCAAGATAGGAACTTGCGTCTCAGGGTGGCTTTCAAAGCAAAGCATGGTTATTTTGTTTTGTAACCTGTTAAGGGAGCAGGCGCTCCCTCCCACTCCAACTGTGCTTTTTCTTTTAATGTTTATTGTTTTTATTTGGCTGTACCAGGTCTTGATTTTGCCATGCAGGATCTTTAGTTGCAGCATGTGGGATTTAGTTCCCTGAGCAGGGATCAAACCTGGGCCCCCTGCATTGGGAGTGCAGAAGGCCCACCAGGGGGCCTGGGCCACCAGGGAAGTCCCTGGCTGGACTTTTCATCGGTCTTTCGGCCTCTAACTCTGGTTGGCCTCACCTCATCTTTCCTATCCCAATAGCAAGCTTGACTTCCTGTCTCTGGTCATCTTTCTTTAGCTATCCCTCGGCACTCCTGGGATTTCCCTGGTGACTTAGCAGTAAAGACTTACCTGGTGGCTCAGACAGTAAAGCATCTGCCTGCAATGCAGGAGACCCGGGTTCAATCCCTGGATTGGGAAGATCTCCTGGAGAAGGAAATGGCAACCCACTTCAGTATTGTTTCCTGGAAAATCCCATGGACGGAGGAACCTGGTAGGCTACAGTCCATGGGGTAGCAAAGAGTTGGACATGACTGAGTGACTTAACTTTCAGTTTAGCAGTGAAGGATTCGCCTGCAATGCAGGAGATCCAGGAGGCATGAGTTGTATCCCTGGGTCAGGAAGATCCCCTGGAGGAGGAAATGGCAACTCACTCCAGTTTTCTTGCCTGAAAAAATCCCATGGACAGGGGAGCCTGGTGGACTATGATTCATGCATGAGGTCATAAAGAGTCTAACACAACTGAACGACTAAGCATGCACACACACACTGCACCCCTGCCAGATAATATTGATACAAAAAAGGACCAAGTCTTTTCTCTGCTTTAAATCCTGCAAAAGATTCTCCCTCACCCTCTGGATAAAACCCAGATTCTGCACTCTAAGTGCCTTTAAGAGCAAATGGCCCCCTCCCAACAAACGTCAGAGCGACTGGTACGTCTCATCACCTGTTCTTCCTTCTGTTTAGAATGCAAGCCTTCTTCCCTTTGCAAAGGGAAGAAGATTCCCTTAAGATTCCTCTCTGATGGAACTCCTGCTCACTTTTGTCATGATGTTTCATCAGCAGTTACCCTTCCCTCCACACTTTTCCCTATACAGCCAGACAGAGCTGGCAAAGTGTCTGGAATATAGAAGATTCTTAATAAGTTAATAATTTGGGTGAATGAGTTCAAGAGACTGTAACTTGATTGACATGCTTCTCTTTAATCCAAAAAATTCTTCTAAGCTTTCTGTAACTCCTCAAATTTGTCTACTGTCTCTGACTTTTCTGTTAGCTACCTCTGACAGTTTCACATTGATTCAGTGTCACACTGAAATTCGTGTGCACTCAAATATTGGTTAAGTGCATGAAATACATTTCCTTATTATATTTATTATGTAAATTCAGTCCATAAGAAGATATAGTAGTGATTTTATTTGAATTTTTATTGATTGCTATGAAAAACCTGGATCTCGGCTAAACTGCTGTTGTGTACCACTGACAGGCAACCACTGTTTTATTTTTTAAAATATTTTAAAATCTTTTTTTTTGGGGGGGGGGCAGTTCGTGCGGGACTCCGGAGCCAAGTGGGAGCGTCTGGGGGACCTCGTCCGACCTAGTAGCTGAGGCACCGCCCGTGTCCCACTGCCGCATCCCGGCGACTCCTGCGCCGCCCAGGAGAGCGAGCTCCGAGCATCTTGTAGTGAGGCCACTTCTCGGGGCCAGGAGCGGGGAAACCGAGTGCAAGAAACCCCCGGACCTGAACTCAGGCTCTTGCCGCCCCCAAATCATCATGACCCACTTCAACAAGGGCCCTTCCTATGGGCTGTCGGCCGAGATCAAGAACAAGATTGCTTCCAAGTATGATCATCAGGCAGAAGAAGATCTCCGCAATTGGATAGAAGAGGTGACAGGCGTGAGCATTGGCGCCAACTTCCAGCTGGGCTTGAAAGATGACATTATCCTCTGCGAACTCATAAACAAGCTACAGCCAGGCTCAGTGAAGAAGGTCAATGAGTCCTCATTAAACTGGCCTCAGTTGGAGAATATCAGCAACTTTATTAACGCTATTCAGGCTTATGGCATGAAGCCGCATGACATATTTGAAGCAAATGATCTTTTTGAGAATGGCAACATGACCCAGGTTCAGACTACGGTGGTGGCCCTAGCAGGTCTGGCCAAAACAAAAGGATTCCATACAACCATTGACATTGGAGTTAAGTATACAGAAAAACAAACAAGACGTTTTGATGAAGGAAAATTAAAAGCTGGCCAGAGTGTAATTGGTTTGCAGATGGGAACCAACAAATGCGTCAGCCAAGCAGGTATGACAGCCTGTGGGACGAGGAGGCACCTTTATGATCCCAAAATGCAAACTGACAAACCTTTTGATCAGATCACAATTTGCCTGCAAATGGGCACCAACAAAGGCGCCAGCCAGGCGGAAATGTTAGCACTGGGTACCCGAAGAGACATCTATGATCAGAAGCTAACTTTACAATCCGTGGACAACTTGACGATTTCCCTACAGATGGGTACCAACAAAGTCGCTTCCTGGAAAGGAATGAGTGTATATGGGCTTGGGCGGCAAGTGTATGATCCCAGATATTGTGCTGCTCCCACAGAACCTGTCATTCACAACAGAAGCCAAGGCACAGGAACCAATGGGTCAGAAGTCAGTGATAGTGATTATCAGGCAGAATACCCAGATGAGTATCATGGCGAGTACCAAGATGACTACCCCAGAGATTACCAGTATGGTGACCAAGGCATTGGTTATTAGATTCACAGAGGAGCTCAGTATTTAGCCCATTGTTTTTATTCAGTGAGAACCAAGCTAGCCTTGAGTGATTTTTATCTTGTCTTCCTAAAACACTATTATGCTTATTGTACCTAAAGGAACTATTGCCTTACATACATTCCTTTTTCCTTTTTCTGCCTCTTCCCTAAATAGATGCTTTTTAGTGCTGTGAAAGTTAAATCCTACAGCATAACCAATAACTCACATATGAAGTAAAAAGGAATGCTGTGAAAGGGGAGTACTCTTGTACAGTCAATGCTTTCATTAAAAATCTATGCATTTTTACAGTCCTCCACTTAAACTGGTATTTTCAAACAATAGGAAGCTATTTTGGTTTTTTTTTTACAGTTTAGTATCTTGTTTCTACATGGAAGACTAAACATGCTTATAGCTAAATGTGGTCTTTGCCAACTAAATTTAAGATGCAGCGTTTTAGAAATTTACATATCAATGTTTCTACAGTATTGTTTGCTAATTTTTAAATAAAGTCCTGATCAGTGTGCATTTGTGATTATATGTGTACTTATCTTTTACCTAAGCCGACGAGATCTTTTCCGAGTGGTGTTTCAAAAGGAGCATGTACAAAACTGATCTGCAGACATCAGAGACTGGGGGTGCCTTTGCTCTTCCTGTTTGTGCCAATGTATTGATGTAGAATTGCTGCCCTCTTCCACTGTATTTATTGCTGCATTTCTCAGCATAAACCTATCCCATTGTATTTTTTATAAATAAATTTTTTTTGAATATTAAAAAAAAAAAACCTTTTTTTTTTTTCTTTTGTCTGGCTGGGTTTTAGTTCCATCATGCAGGATCTAGTTCCCTGACCAGGGATTGAATCCGGGTTCCCTCCATTGGGAGCACAGAGTCTTAACCACTGGACCACCAGGGAAGTCTTAGGTAACCACTGGTTTAAGTGCTTGAGAAGACATCAGGGCATGTCTCCTTTGTATTCATATGAGATTGGGTTCCCTGCCTTATATCCCACAAGACACTAATTCTCTGATCATAAAAATCAAGTTCACGTTAATTATCTGTTTAAATATCTTTCTTCCTTGCTAGCCTATAGCTTCTGAGAGCTTTGTCTTGATCACCACCCCACTCCAACACTCTATCCGTAGTGCCTGCTACCTTGTCCAGAACTTAGTAGGTGACGCTGTCTCTGTGAATGAGAATACAGCCATAGAATAGTTTTTACTGTCACTTCATGTAAAGGCATGGGTTTGCCAGTGGCCGTATGGCTATCAAGTTGGATAAGGAAATTACAGCATTAAAAATTATTATTACGGTTCTGTAGACTCTTTGCGAAGACTGTCTGCATGTTAAATTCTAATAACTTTGATTATATGTGTAATAGACACAATTTATAAAGGCATTTAAGGATTCGTTGTCACACATTTAACTGCGACTCATATATCCTCTGTCATATCTTTAGCTTAAACATCCAGTTTCTTGAAAATAAACTCTTTTGATGCATCTTGTTCTAAATTCCATTTAAAAGTGAAAGATTATCAAGTACATGTTTAGCCCTAATTTTAATTTCTTTTTAATTGGAGGATAATTACTTTACAGTGTTGTGTAGATTTCTGCCATACAACGACATAAATCATCCAAAAGGATACATATATCCCCTCCTTCTTGAACCTCCCTCCCATCCCCCCCCTGTCTAGGTTGGCTCAGAGCACCAGATTGAGCTCCCCATGTTATGCAGCAACTTCCCACAGCTGTTTTACATCTGATAATATATGTGTTTCAGTGATACTCTCCATTGACCCCTCCGTCTCCTTCCCCCGCCATGACCACATGTCTGTTCTGTCTCCCTGTCCTCATTTTGAAAATTTAAAATAGTAAGACTGTATAAAGTCCTTTTAAATGAATCTTACTAGTAAAAGCCACACTGTTTTAAGGAGGACAAGTATTTTTTTTAACATGTGCATAGTTAATTCAGGTCAGTAATTTTGTTTGTAGTTTAGCCACTCCAAGGGAATCCTTGGTGGGAAGGTAACCTCTGTTTTTTTTGTGTCCTTTTCAGGCTACATAGTTGCCTTGGTAACATCATAGTGGCACATCCTGATAACAGCTGATTTACATTTCTGTAGTTAGCCTTTCACTCTTTCTTCTATCCTGTTAAACAAAAATAAGAGCCTCCTAAAGCTGCCTTCTTGAGACAGGAAAGTAAAAATAAAACTATCAGATTCCCATACCAAGAAGAATACTCTGACTGTTTTAGTAGCCAGACTACCTCATAAATGAGATATATGAATCTACTTCATTTATTTCATGCACTTTAGGAAGTGATACAAGCTATGATTTGGGATGAACTGTGTTCATTAAAAATAGGTAAATAATTACAGTGTGGTGAAATTTCTACTTGTGAGTGTATACATGAGTTGTCATGTAACAGTTAACAAAAATATCTCTGCTTTTAATTCCACCTTATATTTTCATTTTTATGAATATACAAGAGTGACATAAGGTTAAAAATGTGTGCTTATATAGTAGTAGTATAGTGTTAGTTGCTCACTCACGTCCGACTTTTTGTTACCCCAAGGACTGTAGCCTGCCAGGCTCCTCTGTGCATGGGATTCTTCCAGCAAGAATACTGGAGTGGGTTGCCATTCTCTTCTCCAGATGTGTGCTTAAGAAAGACTGAAAGAGTTCTTATAGTAATTTATATTTATAAAATATAAATTTTAAGGGCTAAGAAGACATTGTGCCATTTTATTGGGAATGTTTTCTTTGTTATTAATGTATAAAATAAGTGTGCCTTATAATCATTGAAATCTTAGAGCTGTTGAGGGGATGTTGCTTCCTGTAAAGAAATGAAATATTTTACTATCTTCAGTCTGATCTTTTCCCCAAGAGGAACAAAAGTACACTTTAAATAACAGCAATGAACTCACCCCCTCACCAAAAAATAAAAGATAAAGTTGTGGGTATGTGCTTTGGGTTTTCCCTGCAGACATCAGTGATTTACTGTAACCATAAGCTGAATACTGTGTATAAAAACAGTGAAGGGTGGTCTAATAATGTTAGCAGGCTTCCCAAGTGGCGCTAGTGGTGAAAAATCTGCCTGCCCATGCAGGAGATGCAGTAGACAGGTTTGATCCCTGGGTCGGAGAGATCCCCTGGAGCAGGCAGTGGCAACCCACTCCAGTATTCTTGCCTGGAAAATTCTGTGGGCAGCAGAGTTTGATGGGCTACAGTTCCTGGGGCTGCCAAGAGTCAAGACATGACTGAGCACAAATGATATTGGCAAGTCTTACATTTTTACAAGATCTCCTTAAAGTTTCTGTACAATCAAAGCCTCTACCCCGAAAGTGGGGTTAGTTTGTCTCTTCATCTCTGATCATTATTCCTTTCACTTTTTCTTCTTTTGTTGTGTTGCCTACTACTTTCAGTACAACGTGGAAGAGTTGCTGTCCATTGTTATCTGTCTTATTCTCTGCTTTAATGGAATTATTCAAAGGTTTTACCATTGTGGCTGATGTTCAATATAGAACGCTACGTGCATGCCCCTCATGAGGTGTATAGGCTGGGAAGCTTTAATCTCTGTCATTTATTTAACAGGGGGACCACTGAAAGAAGATGAGGGGAAGGTGGAAGTGGCCTCTGGCATTGAAGTAGATGCAGAACAACCAGAGCCAAGGTCTGATGACGATGATACGTAAGTAGATCATTCACAGAGGCCTACATGAAGCACGGAATATAGTAAAAATGGTAAAAAGTTAAAATGCTGCTGTCGAGGCGTCAAAGATAGCCTCAAAGCTCAGCTAAGACCAGTGTGTGCATGTGTGCGTGTGCATGTGAGTTGCTGTCATGTCCGATTCCTACCCTTTCAGAATGGGTGGGTCTCTGGGTAGTGGCTGTGAGAGCCTGGGCACTTTTTCAAAATCTCTTTGAGCCCAGCTTCTTTGTAAATTGATGATGATAATGTCTACCTCAAGTATTATTATTAGATGAAACATAGTATATGTGAAGTGCTTTAGGGCAGTCACTGGCATAGGAAGGGCTCAATATATGGCAGACATTTCATTATCTTTTTTCTCTTCCTGCCTCTTCGTTTAAACATAAGAGTTGAATAGGTATTAATAAATATCATAAAGGTTATAGAACACAGGTCCGGCTTAACAGAATATTGATTCTCCCAACATTGGATGTTAATCATCCTAAGAAAAACCAGACTGATAAACAATTTATTACCTGGGTGAAAAAGCAATTTTCATATTGCTCAGTTAGGGAGTGGGGCTTAGGAAGGGACACATTTTCACATGTCTTCATCAGTGTTTTGATACCACAAAGTATATTTTTACTGTTTATCATTTCAGAAATTTTGAAGAATCTGAAGATGAATTGAGAAATGAAGTAGTAGAATCTCTGGGAAAACTGGCTACTTTCAATGAGGCAGAAAAAAGAGAAGAGGTTTCTAGTTCTTCTCAAGATGCTGGAAACTTAGAAAAAACAGAGGGGATAGGCATGCAGAAATATTCAGAATTAAATGAAGGTTTGGAGACTATTTTTATTCCATCTGATGACAAAATTTGTATTGGTGATGAAGATCAAGGAATATCAACCACCAGTCAAAATATTCAACTGTGACTGTTGAACTTTTTTTTAAATGATGTTTGTATGTGTTATAGTGTCTCTTTGGGAACAAGTCATAAATATTCATTTATTGTAAGGGTTTTCCAGTAATCCCAAGGTTTTATTAGTTTTTCTCTCAATTTAGACAGTGGGACTAACTTTTGAATGTAGAAATTCCTATTTTTCCTTTAACATTCCTATTAAGAAATCTTTCGGATTATGTATGTGGTCGGCATAGTAATGTGACTCCCCTCCAACTCCAAGCACACCCAAAGATGTGAATATATTTTTACCTGGCAAAGGGGAATTAACATTGTAGGTGGAATTAAGATTCCTAACCAGCTGACCTTAAATAGGGAGGTTATCTTGGATTATTCAGGTGGGCTAAGTGTCAGCACAAGAGTCTCTGAAAGTGGAAGAGAAAGCGAACCAGAGAGGTGGCAGCTGAGGGGGTTCAGCTTGATACTGCTGGCTTCGAAGATGGAGGAAGGGGCCGCAAACCAAGGAATGCAGGCAGCCTCTCTCTAGACGCTGGAAAAGCTTTCACCCCAAAAGCCTGCCAAAGGAATGCAGCCCTGCCAACACCTTGATTTTAGCCTCATGAAATCCACTTTAGACTTCTGACGGAACTGTAAGATAATACATTTTTGTTGTTTTTAACTAAGTTTGTGGTCACATTTGTTGTTAGTGATAGAAAACTAATATATAGACTCATTCATTTAAAATAATAATCTGTTATTTTATAAAACCATGATTTTTGACATTTCTTAGGGTATGCTGAATATGCTTTTTTGAAGCTGATATTGACCCTGATGGAAGTAAGGTAACTGAGCAAAGAGAGAATCGTGTACCAATCATTTTAGTGGCTCACTGAATTATTTTCTAATAGTTTCAAATGTATAAACTTCTGGAAGGCAGGGACTATATCTGGCCTTTATTTCTCATGATGGTCTTTTTTATATATAGTGGTTAGCCCAGTGCCAGAAATGTTTAACTGAAAAATGCTAATACAATTTCTTATTAAGACTATTAAGCTCTTTGAGACAGGAACCTAGACTTCAACTTTTTTTTGGTATTAACTATAACAATCCCAGTGTTGAACATGTGTCTGGAGCTTAGTAGATACTCTGATTTATTGTATCTGCTATTATGAAGGACAGAGTGGTTGTAGCTAAGTGATAGAATTCTGACTGCAATATCTGGTCTTTGATGAAAGTAAAACTAAAATGGCACATTGATACACTGCAAAACCAAGAAAACAAAGAAATTATTGATCACACTTGCATGTTTTCAGAATAAATTGTTAGAAAAATCAGGTGTCTTGGTAACTATGTATGTATCTATCAACTTGATCATTCTTTAAATGATACCAAGAATATCAACCCTTAACTTCCCTTCTAAGTGTCTTGTAATAGTTATGTGTGATCCAAGTGCGCACACAGCACTAGACTAGTGGAACGGATGCTTCTCTAAAGCCAAGGGCGGCCTTAATTAGGGTGGGGAAAGAGGGTTAAGAGTCAGCAGAGGAATAGTGGAGACGAAGGGTAAATCATAGGGGCCTAATTTGACTCTAGAAATATGCACAGCTTCTTGTTGTGGTTTAATGGATGTAACTTAAAAGTGTTTTTTTTTTTTTACTATAGTTGTTTTACGATGTTGTTAGTTTCTGCTGTATAGCAAAGTCTATCAGCTATACGTATACATAAATCCACTCTTTTTAAGATTCTTTTCCCATGTAGGTCATTGTAGAGTACTGACTAGAGTTCCCTGTGCTATACGGTAGGTTATTAGTTATCCGTATTTTATATACAGTGGTGTGGAAAGTACCTTTTTCATTGTACCCACTGACAGACGTAGCAGACACACTTTCATGTACTTATTCATATCATAGTTCTGGAGTCTAGGGTACATTAGTATAATTAAATACACAAATATTCTGAAAGCACTGATAATCACACTGGCCCCTATCTCGTAATTTTGTCTAGAATATGACTTTGGAAATTATCCTGGAATATTAAAGTGTATGAAGCTCTGCAGTATTTTACATGTCTGAAATATTCATTTAAAAAATCGATTAAACCTGACAACCTACTTTCCTTGTGGCTACATGAGACAAGATAGTTTTTGTTTTGCCTTTAAAAACTTTTTTTCTTTAAAAAATATTCTTGGCATGGGTACTTGGAAATAGTAGTGGTGGTTTATTTGCTAAGTTGTGTCTGACTCTTGCAACCCCATGGACTGTAGCCTGCCAGGTTCCTCTCTGTCCACGAGATTCTCCAGCCAAGAATACTGGAGTGGGTTGCCATTTCAGTAGGTAATAAATAATTCACAACTGAGAGACTATGTGAGGGGTGGGAGACTATGTGAACTGGGAGACTATAATGGCACGATACTGGTTAAAGAAAGACAATAAAACCACTTCTTTCAATCGTATTTAGATACAAATAGAATTTGTAGCTATTAAATGTATATTATATTTAAGATACAACTAGATTACTATACAAAGAATATGTAAATATAGTTTATTATGCACAACTAGAAATAAAATGTGAATCACCAGTGCTGTGGGTTCAAAACAGCATGTTTGGACCACGAAAAGCAACATCTTATCAGAATCAAAACTCAGTTTCTCCACACAGACAGTAGCTGATATACTGCACTGACATTCTTCACATCAGGTATTCAGAAACATTTATTACTGCATTAGGAACACTGAAGGAGAACACGCTAACATATGCACATTGTATTTTCAGTGAAATGTTTGTGATAAATGAAAACCATTTTGAAGAAAGAAGTTTAAATAATATTTTGTGAAATTTCAGAATCCTTTCTTCCTTTACTACATCCTCTACTTTTGCTCTGTCCATTTTATCTTTAGTCCCATGATTTTCCTTGGGTAGATGGGTAGGCTGAGTGGGCAATGGTCATGGATCTTATCTCAAAGATGGATCTTATCTCAAAGAAGAGCTGTAAGAGAAGGAAAAGCACTGAGCTTTTTACATCCAGGTGGTAATCCTGATTTTGTCATTAAATAGCTCTGGGATACTGATGGAACTGAAGCTCTTTACCTTGTTCCTGTCTGTAAATTTGAAAATAAGAGAAACGAGACTATGGCTCCTTCCAGCTCCAATTTCCACCAGTTTTTCTTTTCTAAACTGAATAATCTCCAGCACAAGTCTACTCTGGTACGTCAACATCCCTGGACTCTGTTTTGGTGCTTTTTGGTTTGATGACAGAAGAGGGTCTGCAGACAACAAATCAACGATGTAACTGTAAGCAGATAATGAAGCTGGCTGACTCCATGAATGGACAAGAGGTGACTGGAAAGGAAAAGTTTACCTCTTTCACATGCCCCTGAGACAAAGATGTGTAAGACTATGAAGGAGGTCAGTTCACTGCACTAGAAGGAACTGATTATGTGTGGAGCAAATGCTGAAAGTTGTAGCTCTCAATAACTGTATCTGCACACACATATATTCATTTTTCCATGCTGGTTATCAGTTATTCAGGATAGAAGTCCTGTTAAATTATACTGATCCCTAGTTACTGGCTTAGTAACAAGAATTTAACTAGGGCCATAATGCACTGATAAAGATAGGAGTACAGAAGACATGTACCACATATTGTTACCTTTAATTAAAGTAACTTCATAATTTTTAAAGTACTTTCACATACCTTCTGTGTTTTGTTTTCATTACAATTATGAAAGGCAGTGAGGATAGCCAATACATCTCCAGGTTACAGGGAAAGAAGCTGAGACTCAGAAAAATTAAGGAGCAGGTTTGCATCGAAAGGTCAGACGTTTGTAGATGAAGAAGCTGAGGTCAGGTCCAGCTACTCTTCCTGCTAGTCCAGTGTTCTATGCAAACTGCCACCTTGTCACCTTACAATGCATGATGCTGATTAGAGACCATGTGGATGGTTCCCCATCTTACATCATCACCATCTGAAAAGCAACTTATTGCGATGTTCTGACTCAGACCTCTTAAATGACTTTAAAAAGCTGACTTCTAGCCTCTGGGATGTGAAAATGTTAAGGGATAATGAGAGGGCCGTAAAAACATACTGACAGCACTAAAGAGAAAATTATTTTCACAAGTACCTAGTGATGGAAAAGGTTACTTACATGCCCTGGCACACCCATAGAGCAATCAGAGTCAGCCTGTCTTTTCACTATTTGCTTTTAGAACATGATTAAGCCTGCTCAAAGTTTTTGTTCTTTTAAGAGGATCATTAGAAGTATTCAAAAAGTTTATCCACAATATTGTTTGAATTTAAATGTACCAGAATTTGTGTTCCCAACATGTCAAAACAATTCTAAAGTACTAATCAATTATCAGTCATCCATTTTTTTTTCAACATTTGTTTTTTCTAAAAGGAAATTCTCTTTCCTAGTTTCTAAAGTAACCTGACAAATAGAATTTTTAAAATAATGAATTACACCAAAATTAAAATTGTTTCTTTTCTTTCAGAATTTGAGCCCAAACCCTAATCTAAAATTTTTACATTTAAACTATATAAGGTTACCTTTCCCATTTAGGTAATTCTGCCTTTTTCCATTGAAATAAATACCTTGGCTATATGTACATACTGCTGAGGGCCTTGCTTATGGATAAGCAAGGGCCTTGCATAAGGATCAATTCAGTTCAGTTCAGTTGCTCATTCACGTCCAACTCTTTGCGACCCCACGGACTGCAGCACGCCAAGCCTCCCTGTCCATCACTAACTCCCAGAGTTTTCTCAAACTCATGTCCATTGAGTCAGTGATGCCATCCAACCATCTCATCCTCTGTCTTCCCCTTTTCCTCCTGCATTCAATCTTTCCCAGCATCGGGGTCTTTTCAAGAGTCAGGATAAGACTAACTATCACAACAAGGAATGAGTTTAGAAAAATATTAACATATGAAGGTATCCAACCATTTTATACAAAACATCTTTAATTTGTACAGGTGTGGCATTTTTGGAATAATCGTTCCACAGACGATAGGAATGTCTCTTCAAACTCCTGATCGGAGAATCTGCTTACAGACGCACGGGCACTGTTTCTGATTTGGAGCCTCTGTTCTGCAGACATGGAAAGAATATGGGCCATAGTCTCAGCATAGGCCTCTTCACTTTCAGCCAGGAATCCAGTCCTCTCGCCGTGGTGAGGAACAACAATGTCAAGCTTCGGGCCCCCTGAATTGTGTGCGAGGACAATCATGCCGGCTGCCATACACTCAACAATTCCTGAGGAACAGAAATAAAGTCTTTTAAGTCTCTGAATGTGCTTCTAAGAACAAGGACGAGCAGAACCCTTTACAAATTGAAAAAGACTCGAGCAATTTAAGTAAATGTCTGTGTCTCTCCAAATTTACTCATTTAATTTCTCTGGTGCAAAATAAAATGTAAGTTTTTCAGTTTTCAAGGCTTCACAATAATGCTGCTTTGTTCTTTATTGAAACAGACAAGTAGTCGCAAGAATTGTCTTAAAAAAAAAAACTACTGCAGATAATAAAACAAAGACTGGAGAATGTTATTAGCAAGATGGTAGATAATGGATATTAAAAGATAAAAGGTATAAAAAAAGATTTTAAAAAAACCCCAGTATGTTAACAGTTCAAATTACAGCACTAGGAGAAAAAAAGGAAAAAAGTAAGCCATCTTAGTGACACATTCTAAGTAAGGCTGGTGTTTATGTTACTGTTTGGATTTCTGGCAAATTTGAGAGAATTATGTGCCCAAAAGCAGCACTGAACTATATTAAAGTCTTGGTTAGTCTCTGCCAATGATATAGCTGAAGATATAAATCTGGCCTGCCTTTCTTACCCATGTTTCTAGAGAGAACTAAGCCCTTCAGCAAATGATTTAGGTGACTGCTTTCTTACTTCTCCAAAGGAAGGTATAGAGCTGCTATTATCCTAAACATACGGGAGAGAAATGAAACCATCACAACTCTCTTCAACACTGGTGAAATCTCTATAGAACAGAATCTTCTGGTAATGTTTTGATTTGAACTCTTATTTGAAAAATATGAATTATACCATTTCAAGGCTGCATACCATTTCTCTATACTTAGACAAAGTCTTAGAGACTTTGACCTCATCAGTCTTACCCTCTCCAGAAACTTCCACTTCTCCCTCTACTGGCCCTTCCTATCAGCACTTAAGCTAGTTCAAACTCATAAAAGCAAAGCCCCTGTGAGGGCATGCACACACACTCACCCTCTCTCCAAGTCACACGCCGTCCCCTGGCACTGTCTCTCCTTCCGTCTCTGTTTTGCAGATAGCTCGGGGCCAGCGTGGTCTGAGCTCACCAGCTCCGCTGGCTCACCTGCACTCAGGGCTCCCTCACCGCCCCCGGCCCTCTGCCCACTGCTCCACTGACACCGCTCTCGCCCAGGGCGCCCACCACGTCTTCATCTCGCCCAGCATCTCAGCAGCACTGAAATCTTCGCTGTTCTCCTTCTCCCCTCAACCCTCTCCTCCCGTGGTTTCCACGACTGCTCTGCCTGGCGTTCCCCCTCTTCTCCTTCGCTGGCCACTCTTCTGCCAACTCGTGACCCGTCGCTGTTACACTCCGGGCAGCCTCTGGCTCTCCAGACTCTCCCGTGCCATCCTGGCCACGGCCACAGGGCTGCGGTCACTCACTGAACAAGTCCTCACTCTGCTCCCAGGTCAGGCCCCTCCCCTTACTTCAGACTCATATGTGCTACAGCTGCTGGACACACACTCA